GTGGCTCAGCCTGATGGGAGTCAGAGTTCCCACTCTGACTCCCTCCTCTCCTTCCTCCTCTTGCGCGGCTCCCGTTGGAAGCTGGGAGGAGTGACCGGGGCAGTCACTTCCTCCCAGCCTCTGACCTCATCAAAGGGGGCATGGTCACAGCGCTGACTGGGCCCCATGGAAATACACAGCGTCAGGTGGCCATAACAGCATGGGCCACCCAAAGGGCCCCTGAACATCCGGCCCCGGCGGTTCTACTGTGCAGGCTGGGGCTGCGTTACTTAGCCGTCGGGCACCGTGGTCGCAGGAGTCTGCAGGGCCCCCTGGATTGACCCCTGCGACTGCGGTAGTTCCGCCACTGCAGTAGAGAGTTCCAGAAGGTAGGGGCCGCGTGGCTGAATGCCCTGGAACATGAGTTTGTCAATTTGCAAAAACAATTCAATGAGATTTGCACTTCTTAATGTCTGTCTCTTAAGATTATTCACTAAACTCTAAATTGTAACAAATCACAAATGGTAAAAATAAGGTTAAAATAGCTGATTCTACAAAGTCCACCAAATCACCTATAATCTCAGCGCAGCTATTTTAGTCTCAATATTGCCATTTGGGCTTTCAGTTTACTACAATTTGGAGTTTAGTGAACAAACCAGTGTATGGCGTCAGAGTTTATTCTTAAAGGGACACTATAGTCACCAAACCAACGTTAGTATAATGAAGCAAAAATAGGAGTTAAGTGGAGCAAAGGTAGAAAAAATAGGGAGACAGTTTAGTACTTAATGCAGTAACATTAGGTGGGTAGAGAGGAATAGGGAACCTATTAACCTATAATTGGAAATATAAAAGATTAGAAATACTCTCTCCCTGTCAATTGATGACTGTCTTGTGAATAGCACAATATGTAGTATATCATAAAATAAAAATCTATTGGTAAGAAAAATTTAAAAATTCAAAATAAAATATAAAAATATGGAATGAAATTTCTCTAATATAGTATAATGATCCTTAAACCAAGCTTTTTATGTTCACAGCTATTAGGTACATTCTTTCACCGATATACAGACTTGTAAGAGCACTTAAAAAGTGTTTTAAAGTATGTAAACTTATAACTATACAGATACTGATCCAATATAGTTGAAAATACAATACTTTATTAAAAAAGATGAAAAGAATATATAACATAATATAAAACTAATGAACTCAGGCTTTCCAGTTACGAAACACAGAAGGAGTACATAGTTGCAATATGTATCTAGTACAAAGTTATTCTGTTGCATGTTGAAGAGAGATACAGAAAAATCCTGGGACTCAGACCGCTTGAAACCCACTCGGGACGAGTCCCAGGATTTTTCTGTATCAATCTTCAACGTGCAACAGAATAACTTTGTACTAGATACATATTGCAACTATGTAGTCCTTCTGTGTTTCGTAACTGGAAAGACTGAATGCATTCGTTTTATATTATATATTCTTTTCATATTTTTGTATTTTCAACTATATTGGATCAGTATCTTTATAGTTATAGCTCTTACAAGTTAATATAATGACGCAGTTTTTGTGTATACATCATGCCTCTGAAGTTTCATTGCGCAATCCATTGCCATTTAGGAGTTAAATCAATGTTGTTTATTTTATGCAGCCCAAGCCACACCTCCCCTGGGTGTGACTGACACAGCCTGCATGAAAACAAAATGATTTAATTTTCATTCAGATGTTAACTTGCTTTGGATGTTTTTATCTCATGCTCTGAAAATTTTACTTTAATCTCACACGGGAGGCTCCTTTAGGCTCTAGAAGGCTATTAACAGTGCAGGAAATTCTAAATTAAACAGAATGTGCAATACAGTAAGTTTAACAGTAGATTAGTGTTTAGAAAGGCTGTGCAAGTCACATGCAGGGAGGTGTGACTAGGGTTGCATAAACAAAGTGATTTAATTCCCACATGGCAGAGGATTGAGCAATGAGATTGCAGGGGCATGATCTATATACAATAACTGCTTTATTAAACTAAAGTTGTTCAGGTGACTACAGTGTCCCTTTAATATTTGTTTCCAACATTAGTGTTGTTTTTCTTAAACACCTCTGTCTCCCTCACATGATTTTGGCTACCTGTTTTTTGAGTTCACATTTTACCTGTTTGGTTTGCTAATAAGCTAAGCTAAAATGATTTGTTTTGGGCTTTACTTTTTTTTTCTTTTCATTGACAATCGCAATCATAGAGAGACTGTGTTAAAATGTGTCATTCATGAGAAACTACATTTTAGTACTGACATTTTAAAGATGATACAACTGGTAAATCTCTGTATACATTGGGGGTTATTATCAAAGTGTAAAAGTGACGGGCAAATTCCATCATGATCTAAAAAGTGACAGTTTTTTTTATACCAATTTCTGCCAGTTTTCACAGAAATGTACTTATCAGAAAAACAGCAAATTTAGAGTGGAGTGAAAAAGAGAAGTGAAACAGAACACTCTTGTGTAGGAGATTTCATAAATTGCTCCACAAGAGATTTCATAAATTGCTCCACAAAATTATCTCAAAATGAAATGTAAAAGTGTATATAACACTTTTATAAATCCCCCCCCCCACCCCACCCCATTGTGTTAGCCAGCCTGATATCAGAATATTGATAACATTTTATTTTAGATCTGAGAATCTAGCTTATGTTTAAGAGTTAGAGCTCAAATATAAACTAGAACTATGATGGTAACATGTCGTGGACAAAATACACATAGTCCAGGGGTCAAGTCCTGGGGATTAAAGTGTGAGAACTCACACAAGATCCACCCCCCATCCACCTCAAAAAAATAATATACACTTGTATGCATAGATAAATGCGTACACACACTGACAGGTGCACACACGCACTCAGACACACACATACACTCAGACACACACTCTCACACACACACACACAGACTCACATACACACACACAGAGACACACACTCACAGAAACACAAATTATTATTTTTAAAAATGGTAAAATGTCCACCCAGCCTCCCAACCTGGAGAGCTGGTGTGGACCTGTCCCTAAGATCCAGTGGGGCTTCAGTGCAGCGGACGGCTGTCTCCCTGTCAGACGCGACGAGGGAGCTGTGTTCTCTCTGCTCTGCTCCCTCGCACCGCGCGGGCTGTCTACTGATGCTGGGAGCCGGAATATGACGTCATATTACGGCTCCCGACATCAGAAAACGACACGCGAAGGAGCAGAGCAGAGAGTACACAGCTCCCTCGCCTTGTCTGAGCGGTAGACAGGCGCCCACCGGGGGGTCCATCAGGTGGCCATGATGAGGGTACAGTTTAGTAGTAGAGCATATGACTGCAGAGGCAGATCTCTCTTGTTTACTGTTGACTTGTCTACCTTTGGTTCCAGTGACTGACACCCTGGAATGAGGTCAGGTCAGAGAGGGTAAATCATGCCAAAAAGTGATTATACCTGAGAAATATGTACTATGGGAGCATAACATTCTGATCATCGAATCAGAACCAGATTACTTGTTTGACAGCCACTTGGGCCAGCGCCAGAGCTTTAACTTTGTCTTTGAGGGGCCCTCTTTGAGCTAACAGGGAGATCAACAGATTCCTGCTCTGTCCTGTGCCACCTTAGTTTGTTGAGGGAGTGTTGTGGCGCAGACCATTTTAATGTCATCCTTCTAGTCCCCTGGCACTCTGAGTCATTAACTGGGTGCTGGACTCAGGAAGGATGATCAGAATACTCCCACCATGAGAGATCCAGCTCACTTTCCACCAGGCCAACTGGGACAAGTAAGCAGGAGGGGGAGAAAAACACACACTCAGACACTACACACACACACACACACACTCAGCCACACTCAAACTTCCCTACACATACACAAAACTGAACCTGTACACAAAGGCACACTCAACCACCACACCACCCCCACCCCACATACAGCTCTCAGCCTCTTCTACACACACAACACTTAGCCACATAACACTCAATCACCATGTACACACAGCACTCGCAGAAACCAGGGCTCTACGAGTGGACCACACTCTGGCTCCCTACCTCGGGCCCAGGGTGGTCATAATCCAGCTCTGCATCAGACTCATAATTCACGTAAACTGAAGTGCCAAATGAAGACACTTGTTTTATTGAAAACGAGAGAAATCTCAATGTATCTTTCCTGGTAAAATATTTTATAAATAAATAAATATTGTAAAACACCCCAACACATGCTGCAGGGTCAAACTACAACCATTGATGTGCAATTCGGTGCTACAGGACAAAGTAAAAGTCTGGTCACCCCAAACTACTCTGTTGGGGAACAAAATATATCCCAGAATATTTTCAAGTGAAAAGGAAATAAATTAAATTATTTCTCTACGGAACATATTTAAGTAGCTGCCCAGAATTTAGCTCTCCAGGATTATTTAGACATATATTTAAAGAGCTTAGAGAAGGATTATAGTCTTGCTACAATAATTCCACAAATTGGAAAAAAAGGGATTTAAAAGCATGCCTAACATGGAACTAATTAAATTGTCACACAGGGAATGGTTCAGTCCAGCAAATCGATTGCTCAGCCTAATAAAGCTGGCTGAGAATATACCTTAAGGGCTAAATTGGGAGCGAACAACCAAAATAGTCAAATATAACACATCACCAGTCTATAGTACAGGAGTGCAAGATTTAGCTTTTCCTCAGAAATTGTAGGGACCCTGTCTTCTCATCGTCCCTTGCACTGGAATCCCTAACTCATTGTTAAATAAAAACTGCCATCATTATTTAAGTTTTGTTATAAATCAGGGGTCTGGCCCCCCAGATGTTGCTGAACTACAACTCCCATGAATCTTTTGCTATCTATGTAATTCAAAGAATCATGGGAGTTGTAGTTCAGCAACATCTGGAGGGCCACAGTTTGAGGACCCCTGTTATAAATAATTACATGTGGGGCGTGGTCTGGCCGCGAGAGAAGATGGCTGCTCAGGGGAAGAGCTCCAACCCACACAGCCATAACAGCAAGCTCTTACATTAGCACGGCACGATTATGGGGCGCACAAAACGCCAGGACGGCTCCCAGACACCCAGGGCTCACCCGAGCAGCTCACAGACGGGACCCATAGATGGGTATGTAGCCCCGTCGACGGCTGGACACCGCGAGGCGGCGGGCGCAAATATGGCCGACTCCCCGACACGCTCACTCACATCTGAGCAGGCTGAACCCTCGCTGGCCGATATCAGCGCAGACATCAGGGCACTGGCAGTGACAATGGTGACAAAGGAGGACATGAGAGCCCTCTCTGATACCCTGCACGCGGCGATCCGCACAGAGGTGACCTCACTCAGGGCTGAAATCACAACACAGGCTACCAGGATGCAGGCAGCTGAATCCACTGTGCAAGCTATGGGAGACAGGCTGGAAGCCACCAATACTGCAATACACAGGCAAGACAACATTCTCTTACAATTAAGGCGGCAAACAGAGGATCTTGACAACAGGGGCCGCAGATCAAACACAAGGGTCCGCTGCCTACCTGAGCCTGAAGGGAACGAAGACGTAGAAGCTACATTACAGACGCTGTTCCGAGATATCCTAGGGACAGAGGCGCCGGAATCCATGGTGTTTGACAGAGCACACAGGGCTGCCAGAGCTCGCGCGACTGATAACACACCGCGAGACATTATCTGCTGCCTACACGCCTACAAACTAAAGGAGAAAATAATGAACAAAGCCCGTTCCAGACCCACCTGGCGATTCCGTGATGCGGAGGTGGCCCTGTATCAAGACCTGTCTCCTCTTACGCTAGAGGCCCGCAGGGCACTGAGACCTGTCACTACGCTCCTCAGGGACAGAGGGATCCCATATAAATGGGGTTTCCCCTTTATGCTTTTAGCCAGACATCACGATGAATGGTTCCCACTAAGATGGCCAGAAGAAGTGCCCAGATTTCTACAGCGCCTTAATCTTCCACCCACAGAGGTCACCGACTGGATCCTGGGGCCGACGGACCAGAGACAAGGGCCCCAAACTCCTGGCCAGCAGCGAAGAAGGAGAGACAACACGCCAAGGCGCCCACAGACCCGCAGGCAACTGGTGCCCACGGACCCGGAGGAGTGAAGATAGGAATCCCTCCTGCTCCCACCAGGCAAGGAGGACAGACCACGACACGTGCACCATACCCGAGCTTGCAGATCCTAGCGGAACCCAGAGTCACCTTATGCACCGCAGAACACAGATAAGTACTGCTTGCACACATACATAAGCGGGGACACTTACATGGACACCCACGATTGGGAATAGCAGCACCTTAGCAGCACACACCCCCCCCCTGGGATGGAGAGCTCCTCCAAGTTGATTGGGGTGGGGCGCCTGATATGGGCGAGGTGCAACGCACGTGCATAATGCGGTCCTTGGAGGGCCTAAAACATATGTGCCCGTAAGACACAAATTGAGGTGCTACATGGGACAGTTGGACGTTTCTGGGACACTAGAACTCATGATGCACCGAAGTTCCTCTGGTGTTGATGGAGTGCTCTTGTCGTACCACAACGCACTTATGAAGGCTATCTGGAATATTGTCTGGGGGGTGGTTGGAGGGAGCTGGAGGATTCCTGGAGGAGCCTATACCTGGGAAACTGTTATGTTGAAAATGTTTTACTGGGTTGTGTTTGGTGTCGGTTATGCAGACAGGAGCTAGGTTATGATAATAGGATGTACAAACGCTATGGGGGTGATGAGATAAGGGAAGGGATAGGCTGGGATTCCAACTTTGTTACCCTAGGCCTTACTCTGTTCAAGTAGCTGTAACACGGTAGTTTAGTCAGACTAGGTGAGGGCAAAGACGGACAGTGGAGATGGGAGGCATTACATACCCGAGGTACCGTGCTCTGCCTAGATACATGCTTCCCCAACACTGCACTACAGACGCCTACGAATGCATACACCTACACTGCAGCCGGGCACTCGTCTGCCCACGGGACATATTCCCAACAGACAAGCCGCTAAACACTGGCCCCTTGACTCTGGGGACACTTACCGAGAGCCTTTATATGGGACGCGGGATCCCATGATAACTACCCCCACACCCAACTCTGCCTATCACGACCCACCACAAGCAACAGGTCAAACACACAATTTACAGAACGTACAGACTAAAGGAACGGCCCCCTGGGGACAACTGGACTGTTGACAAAGCCGAACCATGACACACTAGATAATTGGACAGTGGCCCGAGCCAAGGCGTAACGTGACCGTACAGACTGTTAGACTAGGAGATCTAGCTACTGACATCAGACTGAATACATGTGGGACACGGACGACTCACTGAGTACGCCACGCACACTACTACTAACCCTTGCCACAGTGCTCCTGCTTCTCTGCAGGTGAACACACTGGACTCAACTGGTTACACCACCCCTGACTAGACCCTTGTAGACACTACTACTGGGAGACCCAATCCCGTGGCTGCCCTAGCTCAACTAGGAGACGGTGCGGCATTGGAATCCACCCAGCTACACGGGACTCCCTCATCTTGAGGGCAATTTCCCCTACTGAGGTCACACTCCCGTGACCTCACATCGGTGACCTCTTGGGTCGGGCCGAATCGGGGGCGGGCTGAGCCGTGTTCTACCCCCGGGCGACCTAACTCTTGGGTGTCATAACCCTCCTCTTACTTTTCTGCAACCGCAAACTCTCCCCCTTCCCCCCCTCCTCCTCCAAAAAAAAAAAAAAGGAGGAAAAAACTTCACGCAACAGCGGGGGCACGCACGGGCATCTTAATTGGAGACACCAGAACACGACTGCTGCGAGACCTGCGCACGCGACCACACTCGCTCTATGGCTTATACGGCTGCACCACTTCATGTGCTAACGCAAAACTGCCGAGGCCTTAACACACCTGAGAAGCGCTCACATCTGCTGAGAGAATTACACCGCAAAAGGTTCTCGGTAGCGATGTTACAGGAAACGCACCTCAAAACAGTAGATATCCACAGACTGAGGGACAGAAGATACCCCACCAACTATCACAGCACCCACCCGACCGACGGGCAGGAGTAGCGATCCTAGTAGCAGCCAATACCCAATTCACCCTGATGGATCAACTCGCAGACCCTAACGGTAGATTCCTTTTCATCAAAGGCACAATTTCGGGAAAACTTAACACATTCGCCTCTATCTATGCGCCAAATGCAAAGCAGGCACCGTTTCTGAGCAAAACGATCCGCCAACTGGCAACGTATACGGAAGGATCACTTGTCGTAGGGGGGGACTTCAACGCACCGCTTGACCCACTAGTTGACTCATCGACTGGACACAGCAGTATACCACAAACTGCGATCAGAGCAATAAGGAAGGCCCTGCGAGACCTGAGATTGGTAGACACCTGGCGAACCCTACATCCGACAGTTAGAGACTATACACACTATTCAGCCATACATAAGAGATATTCGCGTATTGACTACGTTCTCATACAACAAGAAGGACTACAACGCTTGCAGTCGGCTGACATTGTTCCGACACCATGGTCGGACCACAGCGCAGTGTCCGTACATCTGGACTCTCCTCTATTCAGGCCTACTAGAACAGCGTGGAGACTGAATGAGTCGCTCTTATCAGACCCGGAAGTGAAATCCCTTCTGACAGAACATCTAACTAACTACTTTACTGAGAACGATACAGAAGACGTGTCGAAAGTGACGCTTTGGGAAGCACACAAGAGCGTGCTCCGGGGACATCTCATAAAGATTGCATCACGCAAAAAGAGAGAAGCACAGCAGCACATGCTGGAACTCACCGACCAGATATCAAAATTGGAAACACAACATAAGCGGTCGCAACTCGAGGAGCACTATCGCTCACTACTGGACGCCCGCCGACAGCTGGCGGATCTAGTGGCCCGCAAACACCACAGAGCGACACAGCGATCCAAGGCCTTCTTTTACATTCACGCTAATAAAAGCGGGAGACTCCTAGCCCGCATGATCCGACCCCAACAGGCCAGAGCGCAGGTCCATGCGCTACGAACAACCGATGGCTCTCTCACACAATTCCCGGAGGCAATAGCCAATGAATTCCGTTAGTATTACCAACAACTGTATAATATCTCACCAACGACATCCGATGCTCAACGCGCCGAACTGCAGGAAGCAACAACGCGCTACCTACAAAGATTTCAGCCGGACGCCCTAACACCGGAGGAAGCAGACCTACTGGAAGTCCCAATAACCACAGAAGAGGTACAAGCGGCGATCAAGGCAGCGAAGAAAGGGAAAGCACCGGGACCAGATGGACTCTCGGCGGGGTACTACAAGTTGTTTAGGGACATTCTGACCCCACACTTAACAGCAGCCCTCAACCGACTCCAACAGGGCGATAAATTCCACCAAGAAACTCTAGCAGCCACAATCACGGTGATACCCAAACCAGGCAAGAACCCCGAAAACTGCAGTAGCTACCGGCCGATCTCGCTCCTTAACGCGGATGTGAAACTCTTCACCAAGGTCATCGCCACAAGGTTGCAGACGTACGTGCCGCGCCTAATACATCCTGATCAAACAGGTTTCGTACCAGGCAGGGAAGCCAGAGACTGCACACTCATAGCGTTCTCAATACAGGCATTGGCGCTTAAAGAGAAGACGGAACTACTGATGCTCTCCACGGACGCTGAAAAGGCATTTGACCGGGTGACTTGGAGCTTTATGATGGCAACACTTCATAAGGTCGGCCTGGGGAGAGGAATGATAGCCTGGATAGCGGCGCTTTATGCTGACCCTAGTGCCAGAGTGAGGGTGAATGGTGCGCTCACAGACACCTTTCCCAGCCACAACGGAACCCGACAGGGCTGCCCATTGTCGCCGCTTCTATTTGCCCTCTCATTGGAACCATTTTTGGACAGGATACGGCAAACCCCAGAGATTCGAGGGTTTAGACACGGAGACCAGGAGCACAAGGTAGCCGCATATGCAGATGATATGCTTTTCTTTGTGGACAACCCGGTCGACTCCATGCCGATCTTGATGCAGGAATTCGACGTATATGGCCAGGTATCAGGTCTGAAGCTTAATCAAACTAAATGCGAACTGCTGAACATACAGACCCCAACGGCAGTGCGAGAGCGGATCACACGCGAGTATCCCTTTCACTGGTGCTCAGAACAGATGCGATACCTGGGAATCTGGATACCCAGCAATCCGAAAGAGCTATATACCAGGAACTACGTACCCCTCCTACGAACAATCCTGCTCAACCTAAAAAACTGGAATTATGACCATATATCCTGGCAAGGACGCATAGCGGTGATTAAAATGAATATCCTACCACGGCTGCTTTACTACTTTAACACCATTCCCTGGCACATACCATCAGAATTTTTCGCAACTCTTAAATCGGCAGTAATAAAATATGTCTGGAAAGGAGAGAGAGCAAGACTCAGCTACGACAAGCTATGCCTACCAAAGAACTGGGGCGGACTAGCGTTACCCAATATACGCAAATACTTCCAGGCCGCGGTCTTACAACGGATTAGGGACTGGCATGTAGCGTCTGAAAACAAATTGTGGGCTGCACTGGATAGAGAAAGCACAAACAAAGCCCTTCACATGTATACATGGCACAGCTCGGCAGATGCGGCATCAAAACTAGGCAATTTATCACCCATTGTACAAACGCTGAAGACATGGTCATCCTTGAGACGGAACCAACACCTCTCCCCACAACCGAGCCCATTGATTCCGATAACACACAATACTGCGATAGGCGGGGGGCTACACCGATCTGCTTGGCCGATTGAGGGAGAAGGAGAGTATATCCCTATGTCCGAGGTCCTGAGCAATACCGGACTGCGAAACCTGCGAGAATGGAATACGATGACACAACAGACGCTGATGCACAGATTTCGGTACACACAACTGCGGCATTTCTACTTCAACCTCCCCAACAGGGTAGCGATTCACAGAGAGCAGACTTGGTTCGAAAACATCTGCGTGGCCAACACTGGCGCGGATGGTAGGGTATCGCTCATCTACCAACAATTGATAACGGGAGACCTCACACGGAAAAATGCGTTTAAGAGGCAGTGGGAAGAGCTGACAGCTAGGACGTACACTGAGGCACAATGGGAACAGATATTAATCCTGCAGCACAAGAGCTCCATAAGCACCAGATATCAAGAGGTTAACTTTAAACTAATCTCTCACTGGTATAGGACCCCATCTTTACTACACAGAATTTTCAGAGGAAC